TTTTGAATATGTATGACGGGTCGATCCGTTTAATGGTTACGTAGTTTTACACAAGAATTTGTATTTTGCAACCTAGAAAATGTACGACACACACGCTTTCGCACCCTCCCTAGATAGAATTGCCACATAAAAACTAATTTAGTTGTCTGGTCTACACAAGCTAGCCTGAAACAAGAGAATCCAGATAAGTTAGGAATCACCAATCCAATCGTTCACGACCAAAAGCAGGCGTGAACCAACTGCTACATGAGCCTGATCGAGCACTCGTGTTTGCCGAGCAAGTTCTTCGTATCCTCCCCTCCGCCACGTTGAAAAAACCTCTTTCGTGAATAGTCCAAACACTGTCGATATCAACGTCCACCTCATCTTCTTCCTCATTGCCAAGGTTCCAAAATACCCCTAGACCATCGGCTGTCGCGTATCGAATGCAGTTAGGTTCGTCTGAGACCCCTTCCATTATAGTGGAGCCCGTTTCTCCCAAATATATACACCTTTCTCCTGTTCGCTCCACCTTTTCCGATAATATCAATACTAATCCATCCGCACTATGATTCAATAAGCTCAGCCGGCGAACCTCGAATCCTCTCGTCTGGGGACACTTGTACACCCGTGGCTTGCGTAAATCGAAGTTGTGGGTGAACAAGTCGAGGGTCGCGTTCACGAGTAGCAGCTCCTCGTCCGCGGACCCCACCAAATGCTCGGCCACGTTCCACCTCTGCCACACCTCGAATCCCACCTCGAATCCTGTGTAGTTCTCGTGGGGTGCCGAGCTGGGGGCCTCGTACCTCAGCTCACACGTTACCACCTCCATGTCACCAACCGTGCAAGTGCTAGTTTTCGACATGAACGGGCGGGTCCCTACCAGGTCCCAGGGTGCGCAGACAACGAAGAGCCTCCCGTTGTGGAAGAGGATATCCGAGTAGCACATGGTTTCGTCTATGTTCGGGAGCACGGCCCAGGTCGGGTCACCAGTGAAGCACACCACCAGCCGCTCCCATATTTTGCGGCCGGGGTGGTTCTCGAAAAGGGAGAAGACGACGGCCACAGCGACCGTGGGGCCCGCCGAAGAAACTCGGGCTAGGTTAGTGACGAGGGGGGAGGAGATGTCGAGCCCGTGGTTCTCGAAGCAGCCGGTCACCAGCTCGTCGAAGAAGGGGAGGGTGGATAAAGAGGGGAGGTCCCGGGTGGCGCCCCAGAGCGGGTCCCACAGGACCATCTCCGTGATGTCGTGGCAAGGTGAATGGCCCACCAGGAGAAGCCAGCCGTCGCCGGAGCCGCGGCAGGACCACCGCTGGTGGAGATGGCAGCGGGGGGGAAAGGGGCGGCGGTAGGTCCGGCCATCGGCAGGGGACTCGAAGGTTAAGAAGGGCTCGTCGGAGGGAAGGATGAGCCACGGGGGCTCAGGTCGGACAAGGAATTCGGCACGTGTGAGCGTGTCACTCCACGAGCGGCAGACGAGCTTCATGCGAGTTCGATCACCGAGGCACAGGTTGCCGAATATCCGGCCAATTACGTCATCTGGAAGTCCATCGAAAGAAGAAGAAGAAGCAGAAGGGTGGTTGTGGGCCCCAGGTGGGACACTGGAGAAGATGATCAACATTCTGAATTTTCTGTGTAATGAAAAAGCTATTATGTAGAGATGAGAAGCAAACTAGTGAGCACTGTCCACGGTGGGCAGAGAAATATATTTAAATAAAATCGAAGATATCAAATGGCAGCCTACGAAACCCTTGCGAACCCCTTCGCCGAGCTCCACCCGTCTGATCCCAAAATTGATCCGCCGGATCGTGGGGATCCGAATTTCCCTGCGCTACAGAGAG